AGAAGGTGAGGGAGGGATAGAGAGATAGAAACATCAGTGAGAGAGAAACATCGCTCGGCTGCCTCCTGCACGTCCCTTACTGGGGATCAAGCCTGCAACCCAAACATGTGCCCTCGCCAGGAATCAGACTGTGACCTCCTGGTTCACAGGCCACACCAGCTGGGCTCTCTCTCCCTCTTTTTAAAAAAGGTCCTTACCTCCAAATGCTACATTTAGGGTTTTTCTCCTTAAACATGGGCATTACAGAAATGGGGGGAGGGAGAAACCTTAATGACTGTGTAACTCAAAGTATTACAGACTCAGTCACCGACTTCTCCCTTCGCAGGCCAGGAATTGCAGGTTTTCGGGCTAAAACGATGAAAAGGCTCAGAGCCCCACAGGACCCAGCTCTCGGCCTCAGCTCCGTGCTGAGCTGCCTGCACGAAGCCGGTCCTAAGCCTGTGCCCGCACACAAGAGGTGCAGTGCAGGGTTCAGACGGCTCTGATGGTGGGTTTGGACTGTTTTGTGGGGAGAAACCAAAGGATGAGGCCAAGAAAGCTTCCTCTGACTCCTACTTGTGCTGATGAAATGTCCGGACCCTCCCGCCTCCAGGAAAGCCGACCGATGTGCCGGGTTTGCTTGGTCGGGCAGAAATGAGACGCAGTGTGGGGATCCCAGGCGACATCTGGGCCACCTGCCCCAACCTCCTCCCCCTCCCCTTTTGTGCCCCCTGCCACGTAAAACCCCGGAGGGCAGATTGATGACTTGGGCGGGGGAGGATGGAAGTGTTGGGCTTTGCAGCCGGGTCAACAGCAATGGCTCTGGTGTTCAAGGGGGTGGGAGGAGGTCTGGCTGGGCCACCTCTCCAGCCTGCAGCTCCCGCTCCAGAAGGCGCTCTGGCGGGCCTGACACATCCCGGACAGGAACAAGTCCGTTCCCTGCTCCCAGGGGACGGGGAGGGGGACTCCCACACACTGCAGAGCAGGGGGGAAGCCCAAAGCGGTCCCTTTCCTGGTCACCAGCAGGACAGTGCCTACTTGGGATGGCGGTGGGTGGACTGGGCCCGGCGGGGGGCTCTCCACTCCCCTTGCTCACCCCTTTTCATTGGGCAACAGTCACCTACTCACTCCGGCAACAAGGTTCATTGATGCATCTACTTCAGTGGTTCTCAACCTTCCTAAGACCGCGACCCTTTAATACAGTTCCTCATGTTGTGGTGACCCCCAATTTCATTGTTACAAATTGAACGTAATTAAAGCATAGTGATTAATCACAAAAACAATATGTAATTATGTATGTGTTTTCCGATGGTCTTAGGCGACCCCTGTGAAAAGATCGTTCGACCCCCAAAGGGGTCTTGACCCACAGGTTGAGAACTGCTGATCTGCTTGGAATAACACAAACCTCAGACCCATTCAGGTGGCCCCAATATTTTCATCTTTAAAAAGCCAACCTCTGGTGCTTTATTAGTCTATGTTCGCCATCAAAATAAAAAAATAAAAAGATTGCAAGAGAGTGACAAAAAGGGGGTAAGTTTGCGGAGGGCATGAGGGGCCTCTGCATGTCCTTCAGACGAGGGCCTGGGAGGGCACTTTCTCTCTTTGTTGGTGACCATATACAAGGCGGCTGCCAGGAGGGGAAGCGACTTAACGGAAGGGCGGGACAGTTTGGGGAGGGGGAGGGTGGTCTAATGGCTGGAGGGGCAGCGTCTGCGCCTCTGCACTGTGTCCCGTCAGATGGGAGAGCCCCTGAGAACGCACATCTGCGGGGTGTCTGGACCGGCATAAAGAGGACAATTAGAGAAGAAAGCTGCAAGCCCCAGTCACCCCGCGTCTGCTCCTCGCAGGGCGCCTGGCTGCAAGCCGCCGGACGAGAGGAGAAAGGCCAGGGTGGGCTGGGGGAGGCCAGGGCGTCTGGGCCGAACAGTTTATGAGCGAGTGTTTTGAAATTCTGCTTTAAATACGCCGGTAAATGAATTCAACCTTGTCAGAGCTTTCTCCCTCGCGCAGACCAAATATCCCGCTGGCGTGCTGTCTAGACACAGATAACAAAGGACTTTTTACAGCGCCCAGAGACTCGCTGACAAAGTAGCCATTTAAAGACGCAGTATTGCTCTCTCCGTCTAGAATGATTTGTCAGATGGACTTAAATGAAAATGCTAAGTTATCGGTCTGGTTTGGGGGCTGCCGGAGGAAGGGGCGGGTGGGGGTGTCGAGGGGCTGGCTGCTGGGGAGACATAGAAAACAGATCATCTTTGATTGGGCCGCACTCCAAGTTGTTCTTAAAATAGGACTGTGCGTGGCTGACCTGCAGATAATTCTCGCTCTTCTTGTTCTAAGAGGTCGGCTGTTAAAATGTTTCTCACACCTCGTGTGGCTTCAGGGTAGCACTGTTCAGTTTTAAAGGGGTTAAACTAAAATCCTCGGGGATGAGATGTGTCTCCACCTGCGGGGGGTGGGGCGGGGGCACCGAGAGAAATAAGTGGGAGAGCAGGAATTTTGTGCCACCTCCAACTGTGCACTGGCAGGAGGGGGCCCTGCTCTCACAACAGTACGCTGCAAATGGGCCGTTCTCCCTGGGGGGGCGCTGGTTTCAGGGGTGCACCCTGGGACATACTCACTGTGACCCCAAACATGCCCTGAACCAGGGGATGTGCCTCTACTCAGCATGGTCAGGCCAAACGGAGGAGGAAACACACCCGTGAGCTCGTGGGCCGCCCCTTGGCCAGGTCACAACCTGGAGAGGCTGACAGGGATGGACCCCCTCAAAGGGGGTCTCTGTTCTCTCCATTTGGGGTTGCCAAGGCCTGATGAGCGCCCACCGGGGTCATTCTTTCCATCCACCTTCACTGCCCGCTCTGCCAGGGTGCGGCCTACACCACCTCCTCTCCACGCCCGCCCCCTCCCCGGCCCCTCCCCCAATGCTGTGCAGTCTGACGCTGGAGCCAGACACAGATCACACTCCAGCTCCACCCCTTCCAGGCACCCAAGCCAAGTCACCGCTCTGAGCCTCAGTTTCCCCAACTGTGAAGGGGGTCCCGGCCACTTGCCCTGAGGAGCTGTGCTGAGGAGTCAATGCCTGGGTGGGTCCACCGCAGGCTCAGCATCCTGCAGCCCCCCTCCGGGCCTCCCTGCCCTCATCCGTGAATGGGCAGCGGCAACAGCTCATGGGGCAGAGCTGCGCTCGGGCAAACACCAGAGCGGGCAGGACACACAGTTTGCACCTCCTCAGGGAGGTCATCCTGACGACACGACCTGTCAGAGCCCTCGTTACAATGACCCCAAACCACTCAAGCAGAGGGAGGCTATGGGCCTGACAGGACCAAGGACTCGAGCGCTCCCCCGTGTTCCTTTGCGGTTTCCGCGCTTCATTTTTAGTAGCCGTGGGTAAAAGGCCGCTCCTCCCGCGGCCATGGCTCCAGTCTGGGCACAGCCTCTGGCTTCCCCCGGACACACGCACTCCGGTTCTGGGAGACAGCGGCCGCGGCACCCGGATTTAGAAGTGTTCTCCGGCCAAGGGGTTCCACCGGGCGATGGGAATAGTCCCGCACGGTCCCCTGCGCCCGGGGCAGGGCCGGGAGTGGACTGTGAGATGCTAGAGCCGCAGAGGCCAGTTGGGCCAGCGCTGCCTCCTACCAGCCGCCCCCAGGCCAGAGGGGTGCCACCTGCCCAGGTGACCCAGCAGGAGTGGGAAGCACCCACTGGTGATGGCCTCCGCACACCTGAGGCCGCTCTCCCTGGCAGCCGGCGGGCCCACTCACCCAGCGCGGGCTCCCCACCAGCCAGGGGACGACTGCCCATCAAAGGAGCGAAACTTTTTCTTGCCGGCTCTTCCCCTCTTCCCCAAACATAGTCGTGGGGCTCTGACCGGAGAGGAAGTGAGTGGAGAGGAGCCTGCGGAGGGTACAGAGGTCCTGCCCACACGGTCGGGGGCCCCGGGTCGCAACGGAAGGGCTGGCTCCGGGGCCGTCCCCAACATCCACAACCACGTCCAGCCGCCCACACCCTTCCCCACCCAGGACCCCACCCTGCCTGCCTTTCTGGGTCCTGTTCTGCTTTCCCAAACTCACCCCAACCCACAGGGCCTCCCAGACAGCCCAGCTCCGCAGTGTGAGCAGCTCGCTCCGCTCGGGGTCTCTGCCGGTCCCTCCTCGGGCTCCGATGGCCTCTGGCCCTGGCCTTTCCTGGGTTCCGTGTCTGTCTATCTTCCTTCTTGCTGTGAGCGCTGTGAGGTCAGGTCCGTTGGTCCAGGTCCTACTCAACCTGTCTTCACAACCTTGAACCCACCTTCCCTTCCGCCTGATCTAGTGCAATCACAGTACCCCGGACCCTGGCAGGGTCACCCCTTACTGCTCTCCCTGCCTCCAGCCCCATCTCCACAGTGTCAATCGGGCCCTGATCCCCCTCCCCTGCTCTACACCCTCACAGGGCTCCCCAGCACCCCAGCACCAACTCCAAACACCTCCACACCCGGCAGCTGTCTCTGCCGGCCATACCTCACCCATCAGCGGCAGCCACTGGCGCTTCGATGGCCCGGAGGCACTGCCCGCTCCCTCTGCCTCCGGGAAGTCTCCAGCCCTGAGATGCACGCTGCCTCTCCTCCCGCAAGGCTGGGCCGCAGGCACAGGGGCCTGGTAAGTGCCATAAAGCACCTCATTCTGGGGGCTTTTCCCAGGACAGAACGGGGAGGGCCTTCTGGTAGGAACTGGCCATTCATAGAGGGCGAGCGACTGGCCACATCGCACAGCAAGTCCTGGGCAGGTCCCCGCCCGGCTGCCCCCTGCACTAGCTTCGGCCCCTGCTCTCTACCGCACTCAGCAGGGAGGGGCGTCTGCCTGTTCCTTTCCTGTCCCAGACCAAACAATGCCAGGTGTCCACACCAGGAGGGGGGCACTACCTGTGCCAGGCGGGATGGTGATTAGCTCAGGAAATCACCCCGGTCATCCCCACGAGGATTTCCTGTCGCCATGAATGTCCCCATTTCACAGATGTGGCGACCGAGGCTCTGAAAGGTGACAGACCTGGAAGCAGAGCGTCCCGGACGGTGCACAGTCTGCATCTCTCCTTGGTCAGTGCCAGCTCCCAGGCGTGACACCAACGGCCAGGGGACAGGGTGATTTGGGGGTCTCCCGTAGGGACGTTTGTCTGCCTGCCCTTTACAAAGCACCGGGACATGGCAGGGATCCCTGGGCGCTGGGGTGGGGGATGTGGCACAGCTGCACCCCCTCGCACGGGGTTTCCTGGGCTCCGGCCTGGCTGGGCGCTGCCGCTGGCCCAGACCACTGGCACGGGCGGCGGGTTTTATTTAGACGTGTCAGCTGAGCAGCTCTGGGCACAGGCCTGTGTGGGCGTCAGCTGGATTGGGTTTCACCGGCATTTCTGTCCGGAGCTGCCCGGTCATTACAATCAGCACAGGCTTTGCTGGTCGGGCTGGCCACTGGCCGCCTCCTTTGAGACTGGTGTCCTTTCGCCCACCCCCACCCCATTCTTCTCTCCGGGAGATTTCTTCCTGCTGGGGCCCCAATCCCACTCTCTGGGGCCACTCCCCAACCCCTGACCCTCCAGCACAAAAGGGAGCGTGAGCGTCTAGACCGCCCGTCTGAACGTGAGAGGGGGCATTGTGTGCGGACCGAGGCCTGGCCTCCCGGGTGGAGAGGTCGGGCGCAGGGGCGGGAGCTGGAGGCGCTGGCTGGGCCCACCGCCCAGTGCCCTGCACTTCCTGTCCCTCTTGGGACAGACATGGCCAGCCCAGCACCCAGAATCCAGCCTGGGCCACAAAGCTGGGCACATGGTCCCCAATGAAACTCGGGGACTCCTGAGCCGCCACCACAGGAACGGATGCACAGGAAGCCCTCCGGACGCCCCGGACCCCAGGACCCAGGCGCATCCGTGAACTCGGCTGTTTCCTTGTGACAATTGGTTTAGAAGGTTCGTGTGTGTTTCTGGTTGATGGGTGTGTGTGTGTGTGTGTGTGCGCGCACACACACAACAAAGCTAAGGCCCTGCTCAAGTGGGTGGCACATTCCCAGCCCTCCGGACGCCCCGGACCCCAGGACCCAGGCGCATTCGTGAACTCGGCTGTTTCCTTGTGACAATCGGTTTAGAAGGTTCGTGTGTGTTTCCGGTTGATGGAAGGCCCTGCTCAAGTGGGTGGCACATTCCTGGACACGTGACTGGCTGCTGGCTGTGTGGCCCAGGCCCTGCTCACCCTCTCTGGTCTCAGGGCCCCGTCTGTGAAGAGCGGCTGATCACATCTGTGGTTTTCAGACCTGTTTTACCAGCAGAAGCTTTCGACGTTGAATGAAATTCGGATTTAGGAGCTCAATATATCAAATGGATGACAGAGCAGCCCTGCCAGGGCTGATGCGGCCAGAGGTCGCGGCACGGGGGGGGGGGGGGGGGGGGGGGGGGGGGGGGGGTTTGCACCCATCTCCCTAACCACTGTGCCTCTATCAGCCTTCAGCTCAGACGCCTGCAGACAGGCCTGTGGGAGTGATCAGTCGAATACCCGACCTCCCGGGAGGACTGCATTTTGACTTCTGTCTTTGCCATTTATCAAATTCTTTGAATTTTGGTTAAATAAGGAGCATCTATCACTTCTTACAATCAGAAGAGTCGCACTGTTTTCATTGTGACACAAGAGGCTAAAATGCTAATGGTCTCTTTAGGAGTAGTGGGCGGGCCCTTGGGTGTGCTGCGGGGCCCCTGTTAGTCCTGGGGTCCCCGGGCTGGGAACCACTCTCAGAAACAGAGGCCAGGCTTCCAGGGCACCCCCAGGACCATTGCATCGCTGGGGCCCCAGCCGACAGGACCCAGGAGCTGGAGCTCTTGAATCCGTTTCTCCTACAAGAAAACTGCAGAAATGCAGCCCCTGGCCCACCAGGTCCAGGGGTCAGCCCCGTGGAGGAAGCCGCGGGGCCGCCCTGCAGGTGCGCATCCAGCTCAGAGCCGTGGCACCTGGTGAATCCCATGCAGCCACAGCTGGGACCCGGCTCGTTTACAAGGGCGTCCTGAGGAAGGGCGTCCTGCCACCTCTCCCCACTGTGCGCCTGTCTTTCTCATGGCTGCACTTCCAGAACCCGAGGCCCAGCACAGAGTAGGTGCTTCATGAATGTCATGAGCTCACGAGTGAAGAAGTGAAATATGGAGGAAAACTGTCCATCAGTGAGGTCCCCGAATCAGCACGAACGTACACGACCCGCCCAGCCTTCCAGCCCCACATCACAGAGACCTCCTTCCCTGGCTCGTCTTCCTCCGCAGCAGGTGCCCAGGGGGCTGGGCTGGGGGCCCTGGGCAGGCGGGAAGGGGAAGGGTGCTCAGGGGAGGCCCAAGGGGATGGCAGCAGCTCCCACCCCAGAACTCCTCTTCTGGTCACTTGGGATGGGTGGGGCGAACTTCTCCCCAAGAGAAACCACTGCCCCGCTGTGGCAAATTCAGCAGGTTGAGTGGAGAGGGGCAGGAGCCTCCACTCAGCCCCCCAGAGCAGGGTAGCGACGCCGGGGTCGCCTGGGCTGGAGCCCTGCTCACTGTCTCCTGGTCTCGACTTGGTCCATGGCACCAGTACCCACCTCCGGTGCCCTCAGCCTCCGGCACCTGCCCCACCATCTGGGAATGGGGAGAACAGACCCGGCATGTGATGGGGAGGGGCTGGTACCTGTAACCTCACTCAGCAACCTCTCCCTCCGGGGCAGAACTCCTGCTCCAGCCTCAAGGCCCAGCTCCCGTTCCCCCGGGAGCCAGGGGCCCCAGCCCTCCCTCCCCGCTGTCTCCCAGGAGGTCCCCTCCCAGGAGGTCCCAGGGCTTCCGGAGTTGTGGCTCCCTCCCTCGGACCACGTCTTTGTAGCAGAACAGGTGGCATTTCCTGAGCATGTCCGAGGCAGCTGGCAGGGAGCCAGGCTCTATTCTCTCATTCGATCCTCACTCTGAGCTATGAAGCAGCTGATTCTCAGGACGTCCAGCTGACAGACGAGGCAGCAGGCTCAGAGGGGAAGCAGCCCCAAGGACACTCTCCTGGGGTGGGGGGCGGTCTGGCTGCTCGGCTCACGCCCGCCTGCCTACTGCCACCCCCTCTGGGTCCAGGTCCTCAGCGCCCGCTCACTCCCTGCACACAGGGGCTGCCTCTCGGAGGGTGCCACAGGCTGGGCTGGATCCCCATCAGGGCACCCATGAAACCATGGGGTGGGGCAGGGGCAGGAAACCACCGACAGAGAGGAGAGGGGAGGGAGCTCCCAGGCTCACTGTCCTGGTGCCTGGTTGTCCCTGGGCCTGGTCCTCTTCCCCAAACCCTCTGCTCTGCTCAGCCCTGTTCCTTCCCAGGAGCCGGATCTCTGGCTGCAGCCACAGGGGACGCACGTCGCTCTTGACCCCAGGAGGAATTCCTTGAGGGCAAAGGCTGTCAGATGGAGAAGAGGCAGAGCGGCCTGGCGGGCCCGCTGGCCCAGCACCCACGGGCAGGGTGGCCTGCAGAAGCAGGAGTCAGTCTGTGGCCCGGGGCCCTCTGTCCACCCCACCTCACCAGAACAGGCAGGGTGAGCACCCCCTCTCCCAGGGACAGACAGCTGACTGGCAAGGCAGATCAGACCCGTAAGGGACCGTAACTGTCCCTGCCAAGTCCACAGCCCACACTCATAAATCAGGGAGTCGGGCAGCCCTCCTCCCGGGGTGGGAGTCTGGGCTCTGTCACAATAGCCATGAGACCAAGGCAAGCGCCTTCTAAACCTCAGTGTGCACATCTGTACAATGGGACCGACTGTAGTAAGTACCACCAGGGGAGGGGTACTGAGGACTCCATACCATGGGGAGGTCAGGGACACAATGGGGCTGCCTAGGAGCTCTTACCCTCGGGACCACTTTCCTGGCTTTCACACCTCATCATATCAACTGTTGATTCAGTCCCTGCTGTGGGCCAAGGTCTCCAGGAAGTGGCCAAACCCAAATCTAACCAGAACCAACCAGGCAGAATTAAACACAAAGCCCAGACAGTCCCAAAGCAGCGGAACCACGGCCACCTGCTGGGCCAGGATCCTTCACATTCCAGCGGGGCTGCAAGGCCTCTGTGGGCTGCAATAAAAATTCCCAGACAGGTAGTCAGGCAGGAGGCAGGCCCGGTGAGCTGTGCTCTCCCTTACCCCACAGGGAAGGCCAGTGGGTGGAGGGAGGCACCTCCTGCCCTTTCCTCTCAGTTCCGTAGGACCAGCCCCAGACCAGGATCTGCGGCCCAGGAAGGTCTATGAGTCAGCCAGGCCGGCCTCACAGGCTGGGTCCCCCAGGGAGCTCTGCCCCCTCTCAGAGGTTCCATTCCAGTCTCACCATGGGGTCTTCAAACCGCTCTTCCACCCCCCGCCCACCCCACCCCCATCTCGCGCAAACCATTCTGAAAATAGTAGAAGTAAGCACAGTTCTGCCAACCCCCATGCCAGACAGGTGGCCGGCACTGCCCCCGTGCGCGCAGCCCACGCCCACGCCGGGACATTCCCCAGCAGGACCACCGATGGTGGGGAGCCACCAGGAGGCCCGGAGGCGGAACACACCTTTGCTCACTCGCTTCCCACCGTGTCCCTCTCCCCAGAGCCGAAAGGTACATTAGGAAGCCGGCTAATAAATCACAGATCTATTCTGCGAAATATCAAACCATGTCAGGCACTGAGGCAATTAAATAAAGGAGATTTTTTTCCATTACAAAAAAAGAACGCAGAGATCTTGGTTAAAACACAGAGTCGAGCCCTAGCCGATTGACTCAGGGGATAGAGCGCAGGCCTGCAGACGGAAGGGTCCCAAGTTCGATTCTGGTCAAGGGCACGTACCTCAGTTGCAGGCTTGATGGATCCCCGGCCTTGGTTGGAGCGTGTGGGAGGCAACCAATCAATGTGTCTTTCTCACATCGAAGTTTCTTTCTCTCTCTGTGTCCCTCCCCCTCCTTTCCACTCTCTCTAAAAATCAATGGAAAAAGATCCTCAGATGACAAAGAAACCACACACAGAATCCAGACAACACACAGCTGTGACCGGGCAGGTCACAGACACTCCGAGCCTCAGCAGGGGGCAAAGGGCTGGCGTCTCCATCATCAGCACCATCTTGAGAATGAAGCTGAACCCCATCACCTACGGAAAGCTGCTCTGGGCTGAGTGACTGGAGGAAGCACGGGAGATCCTGCTCCATCCGTAACTGCCACCCATGGACTTTCCCCTTGGGCTCCAGGGGGTGACAGGATCCCATGACCTTGATGTCATTAGAATCGAGTTGACCCTGACCTTCCACGGCTGGGTGACCTAAGAAGGCCAAAGAGTGAAGTGCCTCCAT